AAATGGCGGCGTTGAAGCCGAGACACTTTTTGACCGACGCTTTCAGCGGTGTTCAGTCTCATGACTACAGAATTGAACGTAAAACAAAACGAAAAAGATTTTATTATCTAGATGCTAGAAACCAAGAAAGTACATATGGATTTTGCGAAATATTAAAAACTTGTTTCACAATTAACACTTTTGCACGAAATTTTGAGGTCAAAACATGAAATTTCTTTTCAAGTGTTTACCATTTCCACAGAAATAAATATTTCTAAATATCCACATGTACTTCTTCAGTTTCTGGCATCTAGATAACAAGAATTTTTTCGTTTTTGTTTTATGTCCAATATTGTAACCGTGAGACTGAACACCGCTGAGAGCGTTGGTCAAAAAGGGCTCCCAGTGCTCTCGGCTTCAACGTCGCCGCTTTGTTTAAAACATTTACAGAAAAAAATACTTTTTTTTCTCTTAAAGAGTTGCTTAATAAATACATTATTTTCATTTTTGTATTTCTGTTGTTATGTCCTCAGAAAAAATTCCCGGAAATGACAGTGATTTTAACCCATCCAAGATGGCCTAACTCCTTAATAAATTTACTCCACACGCAGGAAGTTATTCAGTCAATAACTGAATTTCAGTTACGACAACTGAAACTTTTCGTTCCTCAGGAATCGACTGAAAATTCGGTTGCAGCGCAAGAGAAATTCCGTTAGGAGGTTTCTGTCGTCTCAGGAATATACTCGGTCACTTGAATCGAACATCAATGTTGCGAGGGTGTAAGTTTTGCTCTCCATATGAACAAACAGAGCGTTCCTATGTATGTAAGTGGGCGGGAAGATTCTTGCGCGAGCGAGTTGAAAATTGCGTCATTGACAGTGTCATTCAACTGCTTCAAACAAATTTCTTCTGACTGAGATTTTGTTTCCTTTTACATGTACGATATGGTTCCGCGCCTTCTGTGAAAACGGATTCACACCTAGGGAGGAAAGTAGAAAGCAGAAAGGCAGCATCCAGTCAGAAGTCGCGCTGATAGTCTTGCAAGAGAGAGGCAGACTATATCAGCGTCTGTTACTCTCTTTTTGTCATTTTCTTGGCTTCTGCTGTTCTATTTTCTGCTAAGGTGTGAATCCTCCCTAAGGGCCTGGTGTTGATAGTATGTCTCTCTCTCTCTCTCTCTCTCTCTCTCTCTCAAGAGAAGGATAGACTACCAGCACGACTTCCGATTGGCTGCTGCCTTTCTGCTTTCTATCTTTTTGCTAAGGTGTGAATCCTCAAGGTGTGAATTAGAGTAGCCGTATACTTTGCTGCGGTAACTATTAAAGGTACTACAAAAGTTTTCATCTTTCATGTATAGATGGCATTGTGAATTATTTACATGAAAGTTGCGAGGCGTTTTTATTAGATTATGATCAACCTGCGTAGAAATTGATTCATATTCATTGACAGAAACATTTTTAATTCGTATAAAGATGGAAGTCGATAAGACGCATATTCGTCATTGTATGCTTTTTTATTTCATCGGCACAAAACGGCTGCCGAAGCAACCAGAATCATTTGCGACATTTATGATGAGGGAACGATAGTTGAAAGTTCATGTCCTGAGTAGTTTCGGCGTTTTAAAAGTGGCGATTCTGACTTGAAAAGCAAGAAGCGTGCCGGACGACCGCAAGAGATGAGTTCGGATGACTTGGAAGCGTTATTGCGAAAAGATTCGACTCAATCGAGCGATAGAACTTGCGAAAAGGTCACATGTTAATCAGAGTACTGTAATTCGACGCTTGCATAAGATGCGGGAAATTCTAAAGGATGGAAAATGGGTTCCCTATGAAGTATCCGAGAACGTTATTGCCAGCCGAGTCAATATTTGCCTTTTGTTGCTTAACCCTTTGAGGCACGTATTTTTCAGAAAATACGAATCACATGAAAATTTATATACGGGGGGTTCTGGGGTCGCTGATGACGAATCCGTTATCAGATTTTCAAAATTCAAGATGACGGATCCAAGATGGCGGACGCAAAAATGAAAAATTGCGATAGTTTCGGTGACAGCGGGTATTGTGGAGTCTACGGAGACGCTGATTACGAATTCGTTATCAGATTTTCAAAATTCAAGATGGCGGCCACAAATATGAAAAATTAACTAAGCGGAAGACAATGTTAGGTAAATATATTAGAATTCCATGATCCGCCAACTTGAATCTGCAATCTTGAACAATGAGTTTTGGACCTTGAATTCGTAATCAGTGATCTTGAAAGCTAACTAAAATACAATTTCAACTAATCATATAAAAATTTTGATCCGCCACCTTAGAAAATTTTAGAATTTGGACCTCAGATTCGTAATCAGCGACCTCAAAAACTAAACAGAGTGCAATTTTAGCTAATTTAATAAAAATTCTATAATTCGCCATCTTGAATCCGCCATCTTGGAAAATTAATTTTGGAATTTGGACCTCAGATTCGTATCAGAATCAGCGACCCAACAAAACCCCAAATCTTGATTTTGAGCAAAAAATTCACTCGTAGTTCGTGGAAAATGATTTTTTTCTAAAAATGTATATTTTTCACACTTTTTTATTTATAATAAATGGACAACTTATGTAAAACACTTTTCAACCTTTCATATATGTTCCCATATCATATAAGAAGCTAAAGAACGCAAAAAACCCGATAAGAATCCCTCAAATATGAAATATTTCATGAAAATATGAGAATAAATAGGTAATAAGTATATTTATCACTATGCTTCGAAGAACACGAGTCTTTTTTGTATCGAATTGTGATTGGAGGCGAAAAATCGATTTATTATAACAATCCCAATCGCACAAGATCGTAAATCCTGGAGAACTCTCCCAGCCAAAACGAAATACTCATGGTCATAAGGTCCTCCTGTGTATCTGGTGTATCTGGGACTTGCCCTTGCAAGCTATATTATAAGCTATATTATAAGCTGTTAAAACCATCTCAGACTATCACCACGGAATTATATAGTCGATAATTGAGGCGGTTGAATGAGCAATTGATCGAGGAGCGGGCATATGTTGCGACAAAGCAGAACAAAGTGATTCTTCCGCACGACAATGCCAGGCCCCATGTTGCATCGACGACCCGGGAAACTTTAATGGAATTGCAATGGCAAGTCCTACCCAGCATATTACTCAGATATTGCGCCGTCGGATTTTCACTTGTTTCGTTCTATGCAGCACAGTCTTTCTGATACACGATTTCGCAATGTTGAGGAAGTGCAACAATTCATCGATAACTTCATTCATTCCAAGAGCGAAAAAGACTTCTTTTATCGCGGTATCCATCTCTTGCCTGAAAGATGGCAAAAAGTAGCAGATAATAAAAATATTTTGATTAAAGATCCCATGTCATTTATAATAATATTAATAAAAACATTGCCTAAATACGTATGACGGAAACTCGTTGCATACCCCTAAAATATTTTCGAGTCGGAAAATTTTAGTCCCTCCAATCGAAAACAATTGTCGATGCTGTGACGGTTCTTTGATTTGCGAAACGGAATTTTCTGTTACTGCAATCGAAGCTCATGTAACAGAAAATTTCTAGTCGTCATTACAGAATATTTTCTGCGCATAGCAAACGTTCCTGTCTTAAGAAACAGAGAGAGAGAGAGAGAGAGAGAGAGAGAGAGAGAGAGAGAGAGAGAGAGAGAGAGAGGAGAGGAGAGAGGAGAGAGAGAAGAGAGAGAGAGAGAGAGAGAGAGAGAGAGAGAGAGAGAGAGAGAGAGAGAGAGAGAGAGAGAGAGAGAGAGAGAGGAGGGGAGGAGGAACCATGGCCATGTGAGAATGAATCCTCATCGGACGTTCGTTTCAAAACTCGAATCTGATGATATGAATAGACAGTTTGATTTGATTCGCAAGTAAATCGATACGCTAATTGAAGTTTTACCAGTAAAATCTAAAATAACGATGGCGTTTTATAGTTTGACAAAGCCAGGAGCCAAAAGATGACATTAATCGGATTGCGGGAGAAAAAGATCCATTCATATGAATTTCAAACGGTGTCAAATTGTCACTAACGTTCGATGGGGGTTGATAACGTATTCCCCAGTGAATTCGGGGTTGGTTCTCCAACTCGCTAAGCGAACCACCCCGCGTATCAGCCGCGAATTACGAAGCCGATCCCTCGCTCTTAGTCGCCAAGTATCCGGCAACTTTAATCGAATTTCGCGGGTCGCGGGAGACCGTTCCGACGCGTATGAAAAATTCCTCCAACGAGTCAGCCGAATTAATCCGTGGTTGTTCCGGCGCAGTCGCGGCGCTCGCAGGATCAAATATTTAACATCATCAGTTAGCTCGGTCTGCCACTAACGCGCACTGGGAGTCCCTGCGAAATTAATTTCGTCACCGAGTGCGAGTGTTTGTTTATAATGACATATTAATCATTCAAGCAACAGCGTGTTCGGATCGATTAAACCGCGGTGAAGCTCGTCTGAGACGCTCGCCATTCGCATCTCTCGCCGAGAGAAGAGAGAGAAGAGAGACAGACTCGCCATGCGAAATTGCCGACCGAGCGAATGGCGAATTAATCGATCGGACAGGACGCAGAGGTGTTAAACGGATCAACGCCGTGTCCCAACTTGCGCGAGCACGGCCAATAATTCCGACTATCGCGAGAGGCTGCGCCGTCGTCTCACGCCCCCTTCGTCTCGGGTCGCCACATTTTCATAATCGCCCAGCTCGATGCGCAGCATCACTTCGCGCGCGGACGTTTCGCCTCCTCCTTCTCCTCCTCCTCGGCCAGTCCTCCGAGAATATCCCAGTTAACCCTGCGCGATCGGACGATCGGAGCGAAGGGAAGAGTAATCGCGGCATTGTATAACTCCCTCCCCTCCCCGTAAGGATACACTCGAGACCCCCCTCCGTCCCCCGACGCACAGTCGCGACTTTTCTCCCCCGCCGAGAGACGAGTCGCCGATAAATCCGCGCGAGTTACCGCACACTCCTACCCTTCGTCCTCCTCCCCCCGCCCCGCCGTCGCTCGGTCTTTACCTTGCTCCACCTCGGCATTGATGTGAATGGTCCTCAGTCTGAGCTCCTCGTTCTCGTAAATCATCCCTCTCGAGGACTTCCGGTCGAGTTTTCTATTTGGCTTAACGCTGACATCCCTCCGCCTGGTCCTCAGCATCCCCCCGCCGCCGACGCCCACCCCCGTCCCCGCCATCGTGCTTCTCCTTCTCCACCACTCGCCTGCCTCAGCCGCGGATGGTATGGTAGTGGGTATGACGTATCGCAAAGAGGAGAGAGAGAGAGAGAGAGAGGGAGCGGATCGCGAGCGATTGTCCCGGCCGACGCCGGCACGCGACCCCTCGTAGTCCTCCCCCCTCCCCCGCCTCGCGGAGCTCGAGCGAGCGCGTCTTATTCGTGTCTCTGTGCTCGATCTCCCCTGTTTGATCTTCTCGTCGACCTCTGGGCGACGGGAAAAGTTGCCGGGCGAGATCCTGCGCCCTCGATGCCACTCGACGCTCTTCCCGTCTCTCTCTAGCGCGGGCGTGGACAAATACCAGCGGGGCAGCGGGGGCGCGTGTCGAGCAGTTCGCCGTAATCTCTCTTATGCGCCGAGGTGTCTCACTTCCGAACAGCCGCACTTCCTCCCTCACCCCGTGCGTCGCTCACTGGTGGACGATCACGCTCGCCGGTCTGTGCGTTAGTAATTTGCGCGCATCTGCGCTGTCATTCGCGAACATTCGGTGTAACGATTACGACGTATGCAATGTCTCCCCGCGCCATTTCGATTCGGCTGTATTACAGTCGGCTGACAGTTCCAGCCCAGGACACGCCGCGTCGCGCTCAAGAGAGTTCAATGGAGGATTCCCGTCCTCCGCGAGATCTCGCGGTTCCCCGAAGAACCGGGAGAAATCCGCGTGGATCGCGAGCGACGATTCTGATTCGAGGAATTAGCGAGCGAGTTCCCTCGACGCGATCACGCGTCCCTCCTCTTGAGAGCGCCGTGGAGACCACGGAGGACGGCCATCTTGCTGGGGCCCGCGCGGGCCACGTGGTCGCGGGTGGACGAGCCTTCCGACAGAATCACGGCGTCCGGCAGCGCCGCCGGCTGCTGCTGCGTCGGCCTCGCGACCAGAAGAATTTGCATCGGCCGGTCGTTTCTCACGCGGTATTCCTCGCACGCAATTTGCGTCCCCATTACTCAACGTTTATCAACGCGCCGTGGACGACGACCGCCTCCCTCTCCCTCTCCTTCTCCTTCCCTCTCTTTCCCTCTCTCGCGCGCGCGCGCGCTCTCGAGCCCCCGTCCTTGCGTGTCCTTGTTGTTTTCTCTTGCTCTTTCGGTTCTCGCTTTTTTGTTTTCCCTCTCCCTCGCTGGCTCTCCTCTAATTTGTTTTGCACGTCGGCGCGGGCACACGCGGGGGAATTTATCTGTCGCCGCGCGCGCGGACGGCTCGTTCGGCCGTTATGAACGTGTCGGGACTTTCGCCCGTCGGCTCGCCGGCGATTACTCGCGGGGGACCGTAAAGTTGCGGCTCTTCAAGTTCTGCTAAACCTGCCCGGCCGGCAGTCCTGGCGTCTGCGATTTCTTTCCCGTCGGCGCGCCGGGGGACACGCTGGCGTTCGCGAGAAGGCGAGGACGTCGAGTGGTCGTGCGATGTGATGTGCGACGACGACGATTATCCGCGATGATATGCGCGCCGCCGCGTTGCCGAGAAGACTCGCGGGTAGGACAACCACAAGGACAACGTCTAAGCTACGGCGAAGAGCGGCGAGGTGATGGTGGTGGCCGACGCTGGCGTTGAGCAGAGCCAAGTGCGCAATCTACGTCGGTCATTAGTTGGCTTTAGCAGCATTCTCTTCCTGCCTTCTTCGCGGATCCCATGGAGCTTCTGCCGGTCCCACAGTACCGTGTCGAGGCCACTCCTCCGACAGTCGACGATCTGAAATAGATTTTATGCGGTAGAAATCGTGCCTCCTGCGGTCGTGTGTCATTCTATTAGAACTATGCCCGCTCGTCGCGCGTCCGATTACTCGCTTGGAGATCGAGGTAGCGCTCGTCGGTGTTAACTTGCACGCGAAAAGATATTTTGTAGTTGTGACAAGAAAGAACCTCCGCAAAAAGGGTCGATTTTTTTTTTGCCCGTTTTTCGGTCCTCGATTTTGGAATCGAATTTTATGCCAAAAATAGTTCATGATGAGACATTAATTACAGAAAAGTTTTACATCGAGCATACGATTGGTTTCAGAGATGTAGAAGGTCAAAGTGGTCACTACCTACTAAGAAAGTATGACACTAATAACGCTTTATCGCACGAGTTTTTGCAAAATTCCGTATCTATGGGTTCTTTGAGTTGCTGATCATGAATCTGATGTGAGATTTTAAAAATTCAAGATGGCAGGTGCAACATGACGGACACACATAGTGAAACAATCATTTACTTTTATCGGAACTGTTATGTTGTGGTTTTTTTGGCTAGGCTGATTGTGAATTTTCGATTAGATTTTCGAAAGTATTTTTTCAACGACATTTTTGAGCGGATATGCATTTTTTTATTGTTCTTTTATAAAAAATCAAATTCAAATTGATACGTTACATGACGCATAAAGGATAACGTGATAGTTTTATTTGTTATATTTAGAAGTTTATCTTGCCTTCATTGGCTGGATAACTTTCATCTTGCTGTCACTGGCTGTATAACATTTTTATCTTGCCTTCATTGGCGCTGGATAACTTTTTCATCTTGACTTCACTGGCTGGATAACATTTTTATCTTGCCTTCATTGGCTGAATAACTTTTTCATCTTGCCTACACTGAAGGTAAATGTAAATCTGATAGAAAATTCGCAATCAGCTAGCCGAAAAGAACCACAACATAATAGTTCTAATAAAAGTAAATAATTGTTTCACTAGTTGTGTCCGCTATATTACATCCGCCATCTTGAATTTTTTAAATCTGACATCGAATTCGTAATAAGCAACTGAAAGAACCCATAGGTACTGAATTTCGCAAAAATTCGTGCGATAAAACGTTATTAGTGTCAAACTTCCTTAGTAGGTAGTGACCACTTTGACCCTATATATCTCTGAAACCAATTGTATGCTCAATGTAAAATTTTTTTGTGATTAATGTTTTATTATGAGCTGTCATTTCGCATCAAATTTAATTTAAAAATCGGGGACTGAAAAACGAGCATTTTTTGCGGAGGTTCTTTTCTGTTTACATGAGCTTCGACTTGAGTAACAGGGAATTCTGTGTCGCAGATCGCGGAATCGTCATCACATCGACAACTGCTTTCGACTGAAAGAATTCAAATTTTCCGTCTCAAAAGTATAATCGCCGCGGCGGAATATTCAGCTACTCTCATGGAAGGCGCGAAATATTGCATGTGTAAATAAAAACGAAATCTCAGTCTATTGCGACCGAAAATATTCATTTGAGGAAATTGCATGACGCTGCCGATGATGTGATTTTCAAACCGGCCGCGCAAGCCACCCACGTAGACGGGGACGCTCTGTTCGTGTGAAGAACGAAACTTGCGCCCTCGACAACATTAATGTTCGGTTCAGGTGGCCGGATGTACAAGTTGAGGCACTTAAAACCTGAATTTTTAAGTTATTCAGGCCACCTGAATAACTTAAAAAATAAGATAGAAAAAACGTCAAATACAGAAGTTGTAGGATTTTAAGTGACGCATCATATAGCAATATTAATATGACCTTGAACAGCGTCATCAACGTTACGGAAAGGTCACCTTGAAACTTTGAACTTTTTAAGTGGAAAGGTGACCTTGAACTTTTTAAGTGAAAATCCCTGTTTTTTATTATATCATCTTTTTCTATTTCTAATTAATTTGAACAACTTTTGCCTGAAACATTTTCTCATTTGCCTAATATTTTTTGAAATATTTAAGGAAAAACTTGAACAACTTTCTCAATATTCGGCTTATATTGGTCTCGGAAGAAAAAGTGGTACTAGATCTTTTTACTCTATTTTTCAACTTTTCCTTAAATATTTTAAAAAATACTAGGCAAATAAAAAATATTTCAAACAAAAGTTAATTGTTAGAAAAAAATATAATAAAAAATGGATTAATAAAATAAAAAAAAGTTACAGAAAGGTTACTTTGAATTTTTTAATGAAAACCTCCATTTTTTATTGTATCATTTTCTTCTGTCAATTAATTTGAACAACTTTTGTCTGAAACACTTTTTTATTTGACTACTATTTCTAAAGATTTTTAAGGAAAATTTGGTAACTTTTTCAATATTTGGCTTACGATATCTCGGTCGGAATTATTTGTCGGAAGAAAAAGCGGTACTAGATTTACTTTATTTCACTTGCCAAGTTTTCCCTAAATATTTCAAAAAATATTAGGCAAATAAAAAATGTTTCAGAAAAGTTATTTGGTAGAAAAAATATAATAAACACATAATAAAAAATATTATGGCATTTCTATTAAAAACATTCAAGGTGACTTTTCTGTAAACTTGATGACGACGCGGTTAAGGTCATACTTTTTTTACACATTGCTATGTGATGAGTTACTTAAAACGCTACAACTTCTATATTTGCCAGTTTTGTTCTATCTCTCATATTTCCAAAGTTATTCAGGTGCTCTGTTTTAGATTCCTCATCTTGTATTTCTAAGACGACAAAAACCTCCTAACGGAATTTCTCTTGTGTTGCAAGCAACTTTTCAGTTGATTTCTGTGGAACGGAGCTTTCGGTGTAGTCGCGACTGAAATTCAGTTGTACCAATCAAATAGTTCTCTGCATGTGATTAACTTTTGCGCTGATGATGCGGCACCTCTCATCAGGAGTTTCATATCCAAATTAATATTTTATATAATAGCGGCGAGACAGAGAGACAGTGAGAGAGGGAGGGAGGGAGAGAGGGAGGGAGGGAGGAGAAAGCGCTTGCCTCAATGAAAAGTTAATTTAACTTTACAGTTCGTTACGGTGTATTCCACTTCTCAATTAAAACTTCCTCAAATTGATTACCGCCCATTACTGCCGAAGCAGATCGGATAATTCATATTTCGCCGTGTATGGCATGCAAATTACTTTGTTGACCTCCGCATTAAAATGTGTTTTTCTCAAACTTTATATAAATTGCCAAAGCGACGGCGCTATATCGACAGAAATCGATCAAGAAAAGTATCGCCGCGGCGGTATATAAGAGGCTTCGTGGACGAGGATTTTATTTGCCAAACCAGACTTCGATCCGCGGATAGTCACGAGGGATACAGAAAGAGAGAGAGAGAGAGAGAGAGGAGGAGCGAGAGTGAGAAAGGAAGGACGCCTCGTAGGATGTACGTGATTTAAATCCTTCCCGACAGCTTCGCCTAGAGAATCGCTTTCCGTATTGCGGGTTGTGGAGTATCCGACGTGCGTGCTCGATAAATGCGCGGAATGGCAAAACATTTTGTCCGTGTACCAGCGAAACGGGAGAGAAGGAGGGGTGCAGGAGGGGCGTGTATCCGCTTTGAAAAGCGGTTCTTTCTTTTTTTTTTTTTCGAGCGAGATGTTGCTCCCTCAGCACTTGCTCCTTCTCTCTCTCTCTCCCTCTCTCTCTCTCTCTCTCTCTCTCCCCCCCTCTCTCCCCCCCTCTCTCCCGCTTCTGCTCGTTCTTCTCGCGACACTCAAAGTCCGGAGAACGACGTCAAAGAGGATCGCGCGCGGCAAAGCGCGAGGCAGGTGCATATTCTCGATCGTTTGTTGTTGCCTTGTTCCGCAAGCAGACACAAAGGATAACAAAGAGAAAGAAGGAGGAGGAAAGAGACGAATAGAGGGAGGGTGGGAGAAAGAGAAAGAGAGAGATCGAGAGCGGAAGAAAGAGATTCTCGGTATCGTATTTTGGGAAAAAAAAATTGCTTTGAACCGCTCGCGAGCTTTTATATTCATCCTCGAGAGGAAAATAAAAGAGAAAAAAATCGTCTTACACACAACAACGCGAGGTTGAGCTTTCGACATTTCGCACAGGTTTGCGCTCTGCGTATGAAGTTACGTAATCGTCAAAAACTCATCTCGCACCGCGAGCTATACATATCAACAGTTGTCGCCGAGAATGCCGCAGAGAGGCGGACGGGGGGGAGAGGGGGGAGGGAAGCAGCAGGGAAAGGGAGGAGGGCGAGGTGTGTAAAAAGGACGAGAAGCGCGCGCGTGAAGTTCGGATATAGTTAGCTCGGACGTTGAATGAGAGCCTAATTGCTGTATAAATAACGGGCCCGTCAAGTTTGCGTTTGAAACTTGTAATTATCTCACGCGGTAATTAGAAGAAGCGCGGAAATTTTGCGCGCCTCGCCATACGTCCCGCTGACTTTCTTGACGAAGTTACTACTATCCCTCCCCCCCCTTCCCCCAATTAACGCCGACGGCGAGTGATAAAAAGATAAATGACAAAGGGGGAAACTTCTTCTCCCCCTCCCTCTTGTCCGCGAAGGTGTCGCGAGCGAACGCGCGGACGAAGAGGCAATTCGCGCGCGGACACGCGTAAATATACGGAGACCGGTGATGCGCGCGCGCTCCAAGTCGTAAAGTCCGAGTGTGTTTCGTGGCAGAGCGACAAGACTGTGTGTCGATGCATGCTTAGCGCGGACATTCGATTTGAACGCATTCCAAGTGCCGGCTGTCTCGCAACGCGAAGCCCGTCGTCTAGCGAAAAAATATCACGTGGAGGTAATGACAAACAAAATGATGCTCATCGGCTGCACGGGGTCGCGAGGATGAGCACGAGGACTTCCCAAGGAGGAATTGCTCCGGCACGGAGCAATTGACATGAAGCGACTACATTCCCGTATCTACAAACGCGTCCCCCCCCCCCCGCTTATTCCTCGCCGTTAGCGAGAGTGATCGTTTCATCCCGACTAGAAATTTTGATCAGGTATGCCCGATATTGCGCGAGGACCTAATAGGATGTGAGTAAAGGGTCGCGTCTTAATCAGGTTAAACCTTATAATGTTCTGATGACAATTGAGTAAGATTATGATGATTGAGTCCATGTTTGGATTATATATCCGTATTAGGTTGTTGTTTTCATTATATTTTAGGTTATTAGGTTATTATTTTC